GTTTTTTTTTTTTTTTTTTTTCAAGACAGGGTTTCCCTGTAGCTTTGGTCCCTGTCCTGGAACTAGCTCTTGTAGACCAGGCTGGCCTCGAACTCCCAGAGAGCCGCCTGCCTCTGCCTCCCGAGTGCTGGGCTTAAAGGCATACACCACCACCGCCAGGCTAAATGGATTATTCTTATCAAACTACAGAGCCAAGCCGTAGGTGGTTCATTTCCCTGCCAGTTCCCGCTTACAGTTTCTCAGAGCTACACGCGGGTAAGAGACCGCCACCACAGGTGACACAGACTGCTCCGCCTCACTTGGGATCTCACCTCAGGCTCCTCTCACACTCCCGTTATAGCTCTTCCCGCAGACCCACGTGGTAGAAATGCAAAAAAGAGGGAAATCATGTGACTCAAAAACGGACTGGCGTTGAGGGCTCAGCCTTAGTTCACATCCCCAGAACATTCACAAAAAGGGCATGGCTGTACACACCTGCAGCCCAGTGACTGGAGGTGGCTAGGGTGACAGATGGGAACTGTCTGGCCTAGTTCCAGATTCAGTGGGAGACGACCTCAAGAGAATAAGGACTGGGATAGAGCTGGATGCACAACATCAATGTCCTCCTCTGGCCTCTGAGTGGATAAGTGGACACATATGCATGCATGTACCCCGCCCCCTGCACACATGCATACATGCACACACACATGCACACACACACACACACACACACACACACACACACACACTAGACTGGTCCAAGTGACCTATGCTTCTAGTCTCAACACCAGTTAGAAGCCGTGACCCCACAAAGCCTTTTGCTCTTTGGCTTCCAGAACAGCCTGTAGCTAAGCTCAGCAGCTGCTACAGAGACCTCTGTTGCCTCTGACCCTCGTGCACCCTCCATTTTCTCTGCTTTCCTGGGTCCCTCACACTTAAATTCCACAGGTTTCTCATGACTGAGAACCAGAGAGATTTAAGAACCAAGTCATGCCTGCCCCCACCTACTCAAGGTTCAGAGCCTGAGGCCTGACTGTGCTCACACCACCGCAGGCGGGGTTTCCTGCCGCTGTTCTGTATGTTCTGAGATGGAAGAACAGAACGTGGTTCAGCCGCTAGTGTGCTCGCCTGGCACGTATGAGGCCCTGGGTTCGATTCCCAGTGCTGAGTTAGCCGGGAGTGCTGGTGCACGCCTGTGGAACCAGGAAAGGATCAGCGGTTCACAGCCATCTTCAGTGACCTTCTAATGAACTGGGGGTCAGTCTTGAAGACATGAAACCTCGCCTCGGAAGGAAGGGCTCAGGCCCAAAACCCTGCGTGAGATACCTGAACCTGGCTCCCTCTGACTCCCAAACTACAACATCCTCTTGCTGGAGACAATTTGGCATGAATGACGAGTATCTTTCCAGGGGACCGGGGATGCCTCCCCGCACAGCCTTGTACCCAGAGCCACACACACCCCAGACTCATCTGATGAAAAGGGGAAGCCAGCTCTAATGACAAGGAGCTCAGAGTGTGCGTGTACCCTGGAAGGAGAAACATGTGGCCCAGAGAAATGAGATCCCGACAGACCAGAAGGCGTATGTGATTGGGGTTGGACACAGGCACGGGGGCACTGAAACTCCACCCCAGACTCCCACCCCTACCCCACAAGACAGAAGAGGTCAGACTGCTCTGTCTGGAAGACGCAGAACCTCGACGGCTCACATCACTGCGGGTCCTGGGAGGTGGAGGAGCTGCAAGCGGAGGCAGCGTCGTTTTCATTTCTTCCCACGTTGAGCATCACTAATCCAGAGGCCACAAAAGCTAAGCAGGGTCAGCCTGGTTAGCACCGTGATGGGAGATGACGGTGCAGAGCACAGACAAGCTGGGCTGTTACCATAAAACAGCGGTCTACTCATTGCAAACCGAGTAGCCCTCATCCAAAACGCTTGCGACTAGGCAAAGCCCTGGTTTAATCCCAAGTACAATTAATTAATTATAAAATTAAGTTGTTTTGGGGCTGGAGAGATGGCTCAGTGGTTAAGAGCACTGACTGCTCTTCCAGAGGTCCTGAGTTCAATTCCCAGCAACCACATGGTGGCTCACAACCATCTGTAATGAAACCTGGCGCCCCCTTCTGGCATGCGGGCACACAGGGAAGGAATGCTGTACACATAATAAATAAATCTTTAAAACAAAACAAACAAACAAACAAACCCTTCATGTCCCCATAATGGTTCTCACGAGATGTGACCCTAAAATCAATAAGTGGAGACCAATTATTGTAGTCTTCCTTCACTGAGAAGACTACCTTCCGTCTTCCTTTTGTCTTAGTGGATTGGTCCAGGAACTTCACGAACTTTAGGGCTGCCCCCACTGTCCGTGCCACAAAGGGCCCTCCACGCTGCTAGTTGGCCCACGGAGCATCCTGAATCCCACGTCAGCATCCTGAACCCCAGGTAAGAAGCTCCGCTTGGGACCTCAGACACCTTGCTGTCAGTCTGGGGATTCCACCCTGCTGCTGAAGAGCGGGGAGAAGCAGGAGGAGGTGGGAGGAGAGGAGCAGAGAGAAAGGAAGGGGCCTGCCTCGCCTCCGCCCCGCAATCCACTCCCATTGGCCAAAGGCTTCCTGGCCCCATCCTACCGCCCGCCTTCGGGCGCTGCTTAAAGTGTGCGGAGCAGGTGCCTGCAGTGGAGGACGAACTTTGCGAGATTTAGCGCAGTTCGCTGCACCCATTCATTGCCCAAAAGGTCCACCCTTCGGTCCGGCCCGCAGTCGTTGGGAAGAGGACCCAGGGACTGCAGCGGCCACTCGCGGGGCACTGGGGCCAGAGGACGGCCGGAGATCGCCGCTGACCCTAGTGGGCTGGGGAGGCGACGGCGGCTGCGTCCATGCAGCTGTGTGCCAGGGCATGGGGGCTGCGCCTGGGCCGCGGAGTCGGGGGCGGCCACCGCCTGGCTCGGGGCGCGGGCTTGAGTTGGGCGCCGCAGGGCCGGGACAGCAGCGGCGGCGGCGGCGGTGGCGGGGACCGCGGCGCGCCTGGGGCCTCGCGCCTCCTGGAGCGCCTCCTGCCCAGACACGACGACTTCGCCCAGAGACACATCGGCCCGGGAGACAAAGACCGGAGGGAGATGCTGCAGGCGTTGGGGCTGGCGGTAAGGGCCTCCACCCTCCATCCTGCCGGGGCCCAGCCCGCCGGGCCTCCGAACTCCCACCTTGCCTCTTGCGTCCCGGGCCCCAGCTTGGAAGCTCGCTCGCTCTTAATCTTGGTGTCTTCTTAACTTTTCTGCTGTTCCCTCTCTCCAAAAGTGAACTTTAAAAAATGTCCCGAACTCCAGACGAATTTTTGCAGGGAAATGAGGAAGACCCCCTACTTAAGAGTACATTAATCCGGTCAGTTTCAGTTACAGACTAAAATCGAACCCGGAGTGGCGGATTTACCGTCCGGCTCCCTCATTTTTTCCTCCAAAAATTTTTTCTGTTGTCTGAAGTTTCACTTTAAAAGAAATCCTAATTAGACTATTTAGATGAGGTTCTTACCAGCCTTTGGAAATGAAAAACACCGAGGTGGCTGGCTCCCTTAACTCTGGCGTTACAACTCCCGGTCCTGCTCACCAACTTGCGTTTTGTTTTGTTAATTTTAGAGCATTGACGAACTCATCGAGAAGACAGTCCCCGCCAGCATCCGTTTGAACAGACCCTTAAAAATGGAAGATCCTGTTTGTAAGTGGCCGGGAGGACTCCCTGGGGCTCCACTTGCTCTGGCTTTTTTGCCTTCTATAATCCCTGGTGGTCCGGCTTTGGGGTAGGATTGCTCGGGTCTGAAAATATACAGTTCTTTACAGGCCCCAACACGGTGGGCTTTCTCTTTCCGGGGAGAATCTATGCAGCCCCTTCGTGGTCTTTACCCCTGGGCTGCGGGGGCAGCTACCTACAAGCTTCCCGCAGGAAGGCCATGCAAAACACACGTGGAGTCCTCTCCACTTCATTCTGCCTCGTTCACCCCCACCGGAAGAAGGGCTTTGAGGTCTTTTGAGCTGGAAGTGTCTTTATCTCTGTAGGTCAGGTGAGACAGGAAAAAGGAATCACCTGAAGTCATGCATTTGGAAGGAGATTTAAACTTGTCAAAGTTCTTTGCTGTTCCGTCTCACATCTCCTCACCACCACTAGCCGTCCCTGGCACACGCACGTACACACGTACACACACACACACACACACACACACCACAACCCTATTGAAAGGAAGCAGTGCTTTATAAATTCCGAATGATTTTTCTAGAAAAGCACACAAATATGGTTTAAGCGTGATTAAGGCGTCTCGGGCTATATATAAACTTTCCTTTTTAAATTTTTTAAAGATCTGTCTGCATTTAGCTATGTGCACCACGTGGGGTGTCGGAGCTTCTAGAAAGGAGTTCCAGACAGTTGTGAGGTGCGATGTAGGTGCTAGGGGCCAAACCTGGGTCCTCCAGAAGAGCAAGGCGTGCTCTTAACTGCTGAGCCATCCCTCCAGCCTGCCTCAGGAGAAGTGTTTTTAATGGTCTAAATATTGTTCTTTGGGGGCAGTATTTTTATATGGTATTGAGTTTCCTCTAGTGGGAGAAGAATCTCGCTGTCAAGAGCGAGGTCAAAGCTGAAGAACTCTTTAAGAAAGACAAAACCTGGTTCTCACATCGGGGAGATATTTCTCTTTTACTACTGCAGCTGGTTTTTTTGTTTTGTTTTGTTTGTTTGCTGTTGCTTGTTTGGTTTGGTTTCTGTGAGAGGGAATTTTAGATGCAAATCTGATTTTGTTTTAAAAGATGACGTGAACCTGTTCTGGCTGCAGCTGGGGGATGCTGTGCCACAATTCTGCCTAGAACAGTGGCCCTTATCTAAGGGCAGGGAGCTTGCTCACAAAGAAAACCACCTTCGAGACCTAGCGATAGCCACAAGCTTCACCTATCAGTTTCCAGAAATCAGAATTCTGAGACATCAAATGTGGAAAAAAGGAAAAGGTTGGCTTGCTTTTTTGCAACAAGGACTTTCTTGCAGCTCAGGCTAGCCTCACTTGGGATTCCCTGGTCTTAACTCATATGTTCACCACAATGTGGAACAACTATTTATTTTTGAGCTAAACAGTTTTGTAGGTGTAATTTGTTTGTGTCTTTTTTAAAGATAGGTCTCTCTATATTGGACTAGCCATGTATAACAGCTAGGATTCAAGGAGTATATTAGTTGTGTATTTTGTTTTGTTTTCTTTTGTTTTTCAAGACAGGGTTTCTCTGTGTAACAGTTCTAGCTATCCTGGAACTTGGTCAGGCTGGCCTTGAACTCACAGAGATCCGCCTGCCTCCGGGTGTTGGGATTAAAGGCGTGCACCACCACCACCCAGCCTAGCTGTGTATTTTTTTTTTAAATATTTATTTATTTAATTAGGTGTACAGCATTTCTTCCATGTGTGCCCGCAAGCCAGAAGGGGTGCCAGTTCTCATTACAGATGGCT